TTTTATATAGTCTCTGGATCTTGGACGTTGATGGGGTTATATGGCAGTTGGTGGGTGTAACTGTCCAGTCACTGGAAGATGGGGGATCTGGGTGGAGGAGGCCCAGTCTCGAACCGAGCAGGTTTGGAGATCTCAGCCCCGGATCCCGCACACCTGAGTTCCTCTGCCAGTTCCCTCATGTGTGAGGCTCATCTGAACATGTGGAGAGTGGTCTGCCCCCAGCGCCGTGTAATAACATCAATGCCAAGACCCAAAGACTATAAAACCCAGCTACCGGAATTTTGTTCTTACTCTGGAGAACCTGACAGGCTACCGAAAGTATTCTACCCACACAGCAGAGTCTGGCAAACTCCCCGTGGCGTATTCAATATGCCAAAAACCAGTAACAATGATGGGTCTCATTCTCCTGACCCTGAAAGAGCCTCGAATGTGGCACTTTCTAAAATCTCAGGGCTAGGATGAAGGAGACATTAACTGGTGCCTGCTTGAGGAAATCGTTGAACAACAGGATGACAGTGATACAGTGATTATTATTGTCTAAAGTTTTGTAATGTGGGGCTGGAGTGATAGCACAGTGGGTTGGGTGTTTTCCTCGCACGCGGTTGACCCGGGTTCAATTCCCAGCATCCCATATGGTCCCCTGAGCACCGCCAGGGGTGATTCCTGAGTGCAAAGCCAGGAGTAACCCCTGAGCATCGCCAGGTGTGACCCGAAAAGAAAAAAAAAATAAAGCTTCGTAATGTTTAATGTCTGTGGCTTACCTCTTGCTTGTTTTTCCAAAACAGTTAGCAGGCAAATACAAGGGTGTCTGTGTTTAACTTTGGGTCCCACATTAAAGCTTAAGATGTACAACTTAGAGCAGACAAGAAATCCTGACCAGCACACTGGCATTCTTTCTGTTCCATGAACATGACAACTCATTTCTGCTTAAACTTGTTTTGTTAGCTGTTTCCTGAGCCAGGCATGCAAATATGCATTGAGCCTGTCCTTGACCTTTGCATGGAATAGGAAAAAAGGAAGCAAGGAATGCTTAGCAATGATGGATAGACTTCCTAATTAAAATAAATAGCAAAAAAGGTCTTCCCTCTGAGAACCACAGTGACAATGGGATGGTTTCTAAGCCCTGAGGTAGTACACCCACTTGCCTTGGATTTACCTGTCTTTTCCCTTAGATGGTAACCTTCCCAAGAGGAAGGATAACGCATGACTGTGTCTCAATAAGTATGAATAGAGTTTTAAAAAATATTTTTTTGTTTTGTTTGGGGGATAAACCTGGCTGTCCTTGGGGCTACTCCTGATTCTATGCTCAGGAATCACTACTGCTGGTGCTCAGGGGAACATACACAGTGTCAAGGACTGAATATGGGATGGCTGCATGCAAGGCAAATGCCTTAACCCCCGTGCTATTTCTTAATCCACCAAAAAATATTCTAACCATCAACAGTGAAAGATTAAGGATCCAATGTTGTCTGAGATTTGCATCAATCTATTCCTCAAGAAGGTAAATGCTGGGGGGGTCTGGAACAATAGCACAGCGGGTAGGGCATTTGCCTTGCACAATGCCGACACGGGTTTGATTCCCAGCATCCCATATGGTCCCCTGAGCACCACCAGGGGTAACTCCTGAGTTCAGAACCGGAGTAACCCCTGTGCTTTGCAGTGTGTGACCCATAAAGCATGATTAACTGAATCCATTGCTGGATGAGGGTATTTGGGGATTCACTATAACATTCTGTCCTTTGGGGCTCAGGTTTGACATTTTCCATTAAAAACAAAAAAAAAAATCACAAAGATTCCTAGATTCATGAAAGATTCTGCCTCAGTGGATACTGAGCCTGTCAATCTGTTCATCTGTATTATCATATGCCTGCTGATATCATGCAATAGTGGTTTTCATCCTTTTTACAACTGTGGACCAGGAAAATTAAAAAATTGGCTCATACTTTATGGGCCATTACATAAAAAATAAAAATCTTATAACATTACCAGTTGTACTATAGCTCCGATCTCTCCTTTTTACTTTTATGACAATCTTCACGCATTCTTCCCATCCCCCACCTCTTGCAACTCTCATTCTGTCTCTTTATCAGTTAGCTTAGCTTTTTTTAGTTTGCTTTGTGGAGACATCACATCCAAGAGAGATCTGACAGTATTTGTCTTTCTCTGGTCAATTTATTTTTCTTGGAAAAATTTACTGCTTAGCAGTCACTTACTCCTTTCATTACAGCTACTAGGAACCACTTTGGAAAAAAGAATTTAACCTAGAGTATGAACGGCCAGTTTGCAAGTTCTACTCACACAGATAATTCCAAAATTAGAGACAATGAGAAGAGATATTAGAGGTTGCACAACACATTGTTGTGATTGTGAAAATTAGAAAACAAGCGAAATAGTTATGGGAATTCCCAAATAACTGGGAAGCTTAATTGACAATGACTGTAACATAAACAAGTAAAATCTAGTCAGATGTATAAATGTGGAAAAAAAACTCAAATAATAAAATCGGTGGGAAAATAAGGTTGTATATCAATATACAAAATAGCACTTTTGCAAATTTCAAAGCTCACAGTTATTCCCTGTATTGTTTTGTTCTTTTGTTGCCATTGTTAGCTTTGGGGCACACCCACAGGTGCTCTGTGGCTGCATGGCTGACACTCTTGATGCATCTCCTCTGTCCCATGCTGTATTTATAACTAACATGGAAACAGTGAAAGCACAGATATCTAGATTAGCAAGGTCCATATTAAATAGATGACCCGATTGATCTTCAGAAGGGAAACAGAGAGAGATTGGAAATAGGAGAAGGGACTTAATTTTGGTGAGGTGTGAGGGTATCGGCGGGTGGGAGGGCAGGGGCACACCACTGGTGCTTAGGGTTTACTCCTGGTTCTGAGCTCAGGGCTCACTCCTGGCGGGCAGGTTTGGGGGACCATTTGTGGTGTTGATGTAGGTGAGCAGAAGCAGCAGCGGCGGGTCTCTGTTCATTCGCGATTCCCAGGTTCCTCAATATTTCCAACAATAAAAATACTGAATAATAGAGATGGCTCAGAGTTGGAAAGTAGGGCTGGAGCGATAGCACAGCAGGTAGGGCGTTTGCCTTGCACGCAGCCAACATGGCCAACACAGGTTCGATTCCCAGCATCCCATATGGTCCCCTGAGCAATTCCTGAGTGCAAGAGTTGGAAAGTAGAAAAGTTTATTGGAAAGTAGAAAAGGAGTTCCCCGCATAGGGAGGAACCTAACATAGCACTAAGTTAACCATGGCTCTTTTTGTGAGAGTTTTAGACGAAAACCAGGCCTTTATGTTACAGAGAATGCAGGGAATCGACAAGGGTGGTCTGGCTGGTTTGTCTTTCTGGTCACCTGCCTCGGGTTACTGTTCATTATCTTAGTCTTGTAACTCCTAGTTCTGGGACAGAAGAATATGGTCCTGGGGAATTCCAGGAATGTTCAAGATAGGGGGATGACGTGTGGTCCATCAATGGGGGAGAATTGGAACTGCTGGCAAGGAGAAGCTCTGGGCTCTCCTCTTGTTGGCAAGGGGAAACTGAGGCTGCTTCTTTTAGTGTCAGGGAGGGAACTCAGGTCGACCCCTTGCAAGGCAAGCACTGTACTCTCTCTGGTCACAGGGGCACTTACCTTATCTTTTTCATTTAAAACTGTGATTATGACAAAACATCTCTTCATTCTGAAATGAACAGATGTTCGTTATTCTGGAAAATGAGTATAAGAATATTTGCTTGCTGTGCATTTGGGGGTGGGGAGGTGAGGTTATACCTGGCGGTGCTCAGGGATCTCTCCTGGCGGTGCAGGGGGGGCACTATATACGTGCAAGGCAAACACCTTATCCACAGCTTATCCGCTGTATTACCGCTCTGGCCCCACATCAGCATTTTTAAGAATGAAAGAAGAGGAGTGGAAAATTCTCGCATTCTAGAAGCCAGGAGGCGTGTGCTAGTCTTTGCTTAGGCTGCTGAGCTCGGATAGCTCCTTGAATCGATTGAGTTCCTAGGCAAACGAGGGTCAAGCATGCGGAGCTTCCACAATCTCGACACCAGACCCCAATCTCTCCGTCCAGGAAATCTATAGCACCGACGCGGGAAGGGGTCTCCAAGACAAGCTCTGTGCGTTTCTGCCCCGTTACTCTCTCTTCAGCCGCAAATCCTTCCGCCCAGATGGTGCCTGGAGTGCAGAACTCTCCAAAGAGACAGTCGTGGACTTCTTCAACTTTAAAATTACCAAGAGGGGTCAGAGAGATAGTCCAGGGGGGTAAGGCGTTTGCCTTGCACACGCTGATCCGGCTTCGATCTCCCGCATTCCAAATGGTCTCCTGAGCACCGCTAGGAGAGTAACCCCTAGCATTGCTGGGTGTGACCCAAAAAACTGGTGAAAAAAAAAAGCCAGAAAGCGCCAAGGGTCTTTATCTTTAAAACGGGAATTTTAAGGATAGACATCCGTGTTAGACAAAACGCTGGATTTTGGCGCCCCGCCTCTTTACGTTACCACACTCGAGTGGTTAGCATAGGTAGCAGAATATCATTTTTTTAATGGTAATCTTGGCAGCATCGGATCATACTTAGGGGCTGAGCATCCGGGTCGCCGAACAGCATCACGCTTCTCCCGTCCACCTTGCAAATCTGCACGCGCCAAATCCCAGCCAAGCCTCGGAAACGAGCCCGCAGCGGTTGCTATGGCGACGCCCAGGGGCTCGCATAGCATTCTGGGAATTGTAGTTCGCGGGCGCGGAAAAGGGCCGAGCGGGCGGGCCAGTTCCGGAAGGCGCCCTTGAGATCGCACAATCACGCCGACCCTTTCCGACTTAACCGCGGAGTCCAAACCCAGTCGTAAGTGCTTCTTCCATGTGACCCCGAAAGGACGCTTGAAGACCGGACCCGGGAGAGCCGGGAGACGCGGAGGGCGGAGACAGCGACAAGTACCGCGAGAGCAGGGAGAGGTGAGACTCCCGCCGGCCTGGCGTGAGAGCCCCGCCTCCTTGCGTCATTTCCGTAAACAAAGGACGCTGTGGCTGCGCTGGGGGCTGAGCTGCGACCCTGGCTCTAGATGCATCCGGAGAGTCTGCAGCCGCGGCTGCTGCGGCTTCAGAAGTTCGGGGGCGTGTGCAAGTGAAGGGAGAGGACCTCCATCCCCTTCTGCCACAGGTATGAGGTGGGAGCCTGGGAAGCCCGCCGTCGATCTCTCCAGACGCTGCCCCCCACCCTCTCCGGCTGCTGCTAAGCTTCCCCGCGGCGAAGGGTCCAGGTGTCCGACAGGTTGGGGAGGGAGAATTCCTGAGACTGGACGGAGTCCGCCAGGAGGCGGATGGGTTTCTCACGGACCCCGATTGCTTTACTAACCAGGCCTCAAAAAAAAATGTTACTTGGTCTTGGTGTCACAAGTTATTTGCTGTTTGCTGTTTGCTACAAATTGTCTGTTATTGGAGCTTCGCAATAGATTTGTACGTTCCCGTTACCATCCCCAATTCAGTGAATTTTCCTGCAGGGCTTTGATGAAGCCACCTATGGTTTATTTGCATCGCTTTGCTTCCGGGACTTTTTCTCTCTTTCTTGTATCACCAAATATGTCTCAGCAATATCAAATGCGAAGACCAGTCTGTTTGTATCATCAGTGACACTAGTACTTGGTGCTCTGGAGAACTGATTGACCACCACCTCCCTCCCCCCATCGTCTCTATTAGGTTATTTTTTAAAGATTCTTTTGTGTTGTATGCTGAAAGAATCCCAAATATCTAATAAAACCTGTGAATAAATTGCTTCCTAAAGGAAAAAATTAACTTCGAGCAGATTTATTCTTGGAATCTGGGATTAGGGATTGGGTATTAGAGCCTTTCTAAAACCAGAGCTTTGGAGGTATTACAGCTCCAGCTAATATTGTCTACAGTCAGGCAGAGCCTACTGTGCAGAGTTTCAATTCCAGTGCTATGGCACTCATTTCAGGCAATGGAAAATAAATTTTAATGTTTAATTTTAATAAAAGTAAAGTAAAGGCCCTCTCGTTGATCATCGATTTGCTCGAGCGGGCCCAGTAACGTCTCCATTGGAGACTTTGTTGTTACTGTGTTTGGCATATCGAATACATCATGGGGAGCTTGCCAGGCTCTGTCGTGCGGGCGAGATACTCTCGGTAGCTTGCCGGGCTCTCCGAGAGGGGTGGAGGAATCGAACTCGGGTTGGCCATGTTGGCTGCGTGCAAGGCAAACGCCCTACTGCTGTGCTATCGCTCCAGCCCTAATTTTAATGTTTTTATTAAAATTCTTAAGTAAATGCTTTAGGAGTGACGTAAGTAATTTGAGTCTTTTGAATAGCTATAGATGATTAAATTCATTATAATCAAAATTCACAATCTGATGAGGCTACCTAGCCAGATAAATATTTCATGGTATATAAACAGTATAATTGAGAATTTAAGGGGCCAAAGTACAGTGATTAGGGCATTTGCCTACCTCGCGGACAATTTGGGAATAGTTCTCTGCATCCCATATGACCCTTCATGCCTACCAGAAGTGCCATGAACACAGAGCCAGGAGTGGGCCCTGAGCATTACTGGGTGTGGCCTAACCTTCCCCCCAATATTTTTAGGGGCCACACCCAGCAACTCTCAATGGTTACTCTTTGTACGCACTTGGGAATTACTCCTAATGGTATTCAGGGGACCATATGGGATGCCAGAGATTGAAGGCTGGCTGGCCACATGCAAAGCAAATACCCTACCTACTGTACTATCTCTTTGGCTCCTTTCCCCTCAAAAGATTTTAATACTCTATGTAAATAAAAGAAATGTAGATGCATATATTTGTTTGTTTGTGGGGGATGGGGGTGGGCATACACCTGCTGTGTTCAAGGCATACTGGATTCAGCCTAGGTGGACTGCATGTCAGGTAAGCCACTGTACTATTTCCCTGGCACCTGGAAAGAGATTTTTAGAAGGGTAATTGGTAAGAAAAGAAAGTAATTATTAAAATAAGGAGGAAATATTGGATAGAGAAAAATGTAATAAATATCTTTTGTGGTAGATACATCGGATAGAGAAAATGTAATGCATATTTTCTGTGGTGTAACCTCATAGTTTATCTTTTCTGTTTCGTTTTGTGCCACACCCGGTAATGCTCAGGGTTATTCCTGGTACTGGGTCTCCTGTTATTCCTGGCTCTATGTTCAGGAATTTCTCCTGGCGAACTCAGGGCACCATTTGGGATTATAGGGATTGAACCTGGGTGGGCCAAGTGCTATGCACTTTTGCCTCTGAACTATCACTCCAGTCCCCATGGTGAATCTTTTTGATAGTGGTAAAATAAGCATATTAATGATAAATTTTATTCCTTGAAATCAAGAAAGAAGAATTAAATTAGTTATGAAACAAGTCTAATTTTTTATTAATTCATCATGGGACTAGGCCCAGTAATATCCTTTAATAAAAACTAAATTTTAGGTGGAGAGATAGTGCTGGAGTGAGGTGCTTGCCTTGCATGTAGCTGAACCGGGTTTGAATTCCCAGAACCACATATGATCCTTTGAGCATTTCCAGGTGGTACTTCTGAGCAGAAGCGGTAACACAGTGCATAGGGCATTTGCCTTGCACGCGACCCACCCAGGTTCGATTCCTCCATCCCTCTCGGAAACCTGGCAAGCTACCGAGAGTATCCTGCGTGCACGGCAGAGCCTGGCAAGCTCCCATTGGCTTATTGGATATGCCAAAAACAGTAACAGCAAATCTCACTTTGTGTTCCTGGAGTGAGCAGATGCCATTTGGGCTACACTAGCACGTGACAGGGATGAATGGAGACGTTACTGGTGCTTGCTCGAGCAAATCAGTGAACAATGGTACGATAGTGCTACGTTTGAGCAGAGCCAGAAATAACCTTTCCAGATGCATCCCCAAAACCAAAAATAGAGAAAGAAAAGAAACAGTTTTTGTTAGGTAGTTTGGGTCACTAATTAAAATGCAGATATTCGTGTCACTTGCATAACTCTTTGAATCTAATTGGTTGGTTCTTCTAAGAAAGTGTTTTTTTGTTTGTTTGTTTGTGTGTTTGGGGAAGGGGAACTTCCGGCAGTACTAAGGGTTTACTCTGTGGTCAGTCATTACACCTGTTGGGCTTGACGGACCAAATGTGATGCTGGGGATTGAACCTGGATTGACTGTGTGCAAGACAACCACTCTACCTGCTATTCTATCTCTAAAATATGTTTTAGAAGGGAGACATAAAGGCCACTTAAAATTTCATTGAAGCTGGGAATATGCCATGATTGATTTGTTGACTGCTTGTATGTAGAATGCTTATTAAGGGCAGGAAGTTTGTCTCATTCAGTATCTTATCACCAATGTTCAAAAATAGTGTCTGACATGTAGAGAAGAGTAAAAAGGCCAGAGAGATAGCACAGCGGGTGGGCATTTACTTTACACAGCAATCTGGATTCGATCCCTGATATCCCAGATGGTCCCCTGAACACCACCAGCAGTGATTACCGTGTGTAGAACCAGGAGTAATCTGAGCGTCAGGGGTGTGGCCCCAAACCCCCCCCCCCCCCACCACCACCACCAAAAAAAAAAAAAGTTAAATATTTGTGGAAAGAGTGAATAAGTAAAATGATGAAAGCAAATTTTATTGAAAATGCAGTTTTGCTTAATGCTTCTATGTATACAGTCTGGTAGAATCTACTTAAAGGACTGTCATTCTTTCTCTAATGACCTCTGAAATTCTTGATCCTTTTCCACCAGTGAATTGGGAACTTTGAATTATTATTTTATACATTCAGTTCTAGCATTTATGAGTGATTCTCTGTGTTCCCTTAGGGCCCCCGAAACTGGCCTTGGCACAGTAAAGAACTGAAACCAATGGAGGAGCGGAGAGTGAAGAGGAGAAGTCCTAAGTCATTCAGTGCCCACTCGACTCAGGGGGTCAATGCCAAAAAAAATGCCATTCCAGTGAGTAAAAGCACTGGATTTTCAAATCCTGCTTCCCAGTCAACGTCGCAGCGGCCAAAGTTAAAAAGGTAATTCCACGCTATAACCTTAACGTAATGAGAGACTACATACCACGAGTACTGAAGGAGCTAGCTCTTTTAATTACTTATTTGTGTTTTCCATATGCAGTGGTGCTGAGGGCTCACTCCTGGCTCTGTGCTCAGGAATCACTCCAGGGACCTATATGTGGTGCCAGGGATCTAACTTGGGTTGGCTGCATACAAGACAAGTGCCGTACCCACTGAACGATGGCCCTGGTCCCTTTCTGTAAATTTTTAGAGCAGTACATCCGTATGTTAGATCAAGTGAACTGTAATTTTCAGTCTTGTAATTTGGGGACGGGGAGGCAAGTACCTGGGCCATATACCCAGCAGTGCTCGAAGAACCATGTTTTTCCGGGGATTGAACCGGGGCCAGCTGCATACAAGGCAAGCACCTTAACTCCTGTACTATCTCTCCGGCCCTAATTTATAATTGTGTGTATGTGTTTGTGGTGTGGCCAAACCCAGGGCCTCACGCATGCAAGCCATGCAGTGTACCACTGAGTCACATTCCCAGCATTCTACCTTCTACATTTATTTTCCCTGCCTGCTTCAAGAAGGAAGACTTTCTCAGGGCTGGGTTTATTATTGGTGATTAGTGCGTGTCAGGCAGTTGGACTTTCACATAATTATTTCACTGATTTAAAAAAAAATTGTTGGATTTTTTAACATAAAGTGAGATAGGGTGATATGATTAGAAATAATGAGGTATGATTAGGAATTTCTTTTTGTTTTTGGTGCTTTTTTGGGGGACGGGTATCCAGATCTGGTGGGGCTCAGGACATATTTGCACAGGAATTAGTCTTGAAGGACTCAGGGGACCCTGTGGGGTGCCAGGAATTGAACTTGGTTGACCGTGTGCAAGAAAAGTACCCTCCCTGCTGCACTGTCCTTCCTGCCTCCATCTGAGAATATTTTTAAGAAGCAGGAGCTGGAGCCCGGGTGGGTGGGAGCATCAGCTTTTCCAGTGTAAGGTCAAGAGTTTAGTTCCCAGTGTCATCACGTGCACCAGGTGTGAGCCTGGCAGCTTTGCTGTGTGAGCCTGGTGACTGCTGTCAGCGACACGTGGCTCTGCAAGGGTGAATTTTGTATACTGTGGGGACAGAATGGGATAACGGACAACACATGGGACAGGGGATAGGAAGTTCATTAGGGAAGCTATTGAGGGAGTTTGCTTAAGTGATCAGCTGGTGACAGTGGAACCGATAATTAGAGAGTTTTTTTTTTTTTAATTTTTAAGGTTTTTTTATTAATTAATTATTTTTGCTTTTTGGGTCACACCTGGAGATGCACAGGGGTTACTCCTAGCTCTGCACTCAGGAATTACTCCTGGCAGTGCTCGGGACTATATGGGATACTGGGAATCGAACCCGAGTCGGCCGTGTGCAAGGCAAACGCCCTACCCGCTGTGCTATTGCTCCAGCCCCGAGAACTAGAGAGTTTGGTGCACACACTGTCGCCAGGATTCCATGACTATCTGGGGTGGACTTGGGAAGCTGGAGGAGCCAAACTGGATTCATAGCCCAGATGTTTTACTTTTAATCATGTGATGTTTATGATCCTCTTCTGTTCTTAGACTGGACACTCCAATGCAGCGAGTGATGAGTCTTGTCTCAGTAAGACCCAGTATCTGGTCCAGAGTAGGTGCTCCATTAATACTTGCTGAAGGACTGATGTTTCAGAAACAGACTGGCTGAGATTTCTAAGGAAGGGACCAGGGAGAAGGCTCAAAGGGCTGGAGTGCATGCTCTGCACGCAGGGGCCTGGAATTTGGCACCGGACCGTAATGGTTCCCTGAGCGTTGAGTCAGAAGTGACCCCTGAGCACCAGGCTGGACACAACCCCAAAACAGCAAACCAAAATGATTAGGGTCGGGGCTGGAGTGATAATACAATGGGTAGGTATTTGATCTTGCATCTGGCCAACTAGGGTTCGATCCCTGGCATCCCGTATGGTCCCCTGCGCACCACCAGGAGTAATTCCTGAGTGCAGAGCCAGGAATAACCCCTGAGCATCACCAAGTGTGACCCAAAAATCCAAAAAGAAAATGTTTAGGATAGGGGCTAGAGCGATAGCATAGCAGGTAGGGCGTTTGCCTTGCACGCGGCCAACCAGAGTTCGATTCCCAGGATCCCGTATGATCCCCTGAGCACTGCCAGGAGTAACCCTTGTGCATTGCCAGGTGTAACCCAAATATCCAAAAAGAAAATGTTTAGGATAGGGGCTGGAGCGATAGCACAGCATGTAGGGTGTTTGCCTTGCACGCGGCCAACCAGGGTTCCATTCCCAGCATCCCGTATGGTCCCCTGAGCACTGCCAGGAGTAACCCCTGTGCATTGCCAGGTGTGACCCAAAAGAAGCAAAAACAAAGAAATGTTTAGGATAAGAAGATTTTATAGTTTTCAGAGAAATGAAATATAAAACACTGTATTAGTAAAAAGGACTAATTAGCTTTTCAGTGATCATTTTTTTAATTAAAACGATATTTTGACTATGTACATAGGGTGCTTTATTCTCCACAGATTGGTACATGCTGCAGTGGGTTGGGCTTGGGCCAGTGTCCCCATATGTACAGAACAAAATAAAGTGGGTGTCAATGAAGTCTGATTTTGCCTTCATGCGGCAGGGGGCCAAGGAGGATCAGAGAAAGACGTGATAACCAGAAATGTGTTCAGACCCATGCCTGATTTTTAAATGCTTAAAAAAGCATTTAAAATTTTTTTTTTTTTGCAGTTCAAAGACTTAGCGTGTCACTTAAGTATATTCATCAAACCTCAGTGGTTAGATTCAAAATATTTGTTTGAAATTTTCACAATATTGTTTTTGCTTACGGGTGTTTCATTTAGTGATGATTTTATTCTCATTTTTATATTTGTATGTGAAATTCTGTTGACTTCACCTACTTGGATGATTCTAGAACATCCTGGAAAAAAAAATCTAGTGACTTCTTTGTAAGCATATGTTTCAGTTTTTAATTGCATCCTCATTGCAGAGTGATGAAAGAAAAGACCAAACCTCAGGGAGGAGAAGGGAAGGGTGCCCAGGCCACGCCTATTCAGCACTCCTTCCTCACTGACGTCTCGGACGTCCAGGAGATGGAGAGGGGCCTTCTCAGCCTCCTGAATGACTTCCATTCTGGGAAACTGCAAGCGTTCGGTAAGCAGGAGCCCTTTCTCTTTACTGGTTTCCTTCCCAAGAAGTAACCTACTCTGCACCCAGGAACCACTCCTGGTGGGCTCAGAGGAACATATGGGATGCCAAGGATTGAACCCTGGCCGGCTGCATGGAAGGCAAACACTCCACCTCCAGTACCATCACTCCAGCCCCTGTTTGGCGGTTCCTTCCTTCCTTCCTTCCTTCCTTCCTTCCTTCCTTCCTTCCTTCCTTCCTTCCTTCCTTCCTTCCTTCCTTCCTTCCTCCTTCCCTCCCTCCCCTCCCCTCCCCTCCCCTCCCCTCCCCTCCCCTCCCCTCCCCTCCCCTCCCCTCCCCTCCCCTCCTCTTCTCTTCTCTTCTCTTCTCTTCTCTTCTCTTCTCTTCTCTTCTCTTCTCTTCTCTTCTCTTCTCTTCTCTTCTCGCTCAGGGCTTCTGGCTGTGTGTTCAGGGGTCACTCCTGGTGGAGTCAGTGAACGGTATATTGTGCTGGAAACTTGAATTGGGATTCATTTCCCGGACTATCTCTCTGGCCCCGTCTTAAATAGTTTCATTTGTATTTCATCAATGAAGTATACATCCCTGGTTGGCAAAATGACCCCTGATTAAAGTTGTTTTAAGACTAAATTTCACACAACTATTATGGGTACTCCACTGAAAGGACAGTTTTTAAATTAGATATGAAGAAAGACCTTCCCTATTAATGTGTTTGGTGTCTGCAGTCGTTGTTGCTTTCCTTGTTAGAAACTTGACTTGTAAGTACACAAAGAAAGCATAGAACCATAAATAATGTCATGATGGTACTGAGAGACCACTTCACTCGGTGCTGGGTACCAAACCTCGGACTCTCGCATGTAAAACATATACTCTACTCCTTTGAGGCATCTCCTGGCCCCTTAAACAAAATGTGATTTGTAAAAGAAGGAGAACGTTCCTTTTTGAGTTTGAATGCCTAGAGTTTAAAAGTTTCTCCTCAAGACAGTGCATTCGCTCTACCCTACGGTGTAGTAATGTTTTTGAATGTTCCTCCAGGAAATGAATGTTCCATTGAGCAGATGGAACATGTTCGGGGAATGCAGGAGAAATTAGCTCGCTTGAATTTGGAGCTCTATGGGGAGTTAGAGGAGCTTCCCGAGGATAAGAGAAAAGCCGCCAGTGACGCCAATCTGGACAGACTTCTGTCTGATGTGAGTACATTCGTTTTTTCAACTTTTAATTTTACTTTTAATTTTTTGTTGTTTTTTTAAAAATTAACTTTTTAAATTAAATCACCTTGAGATACACAGTTGGGCTGGAGCGATAGCACAGCGGTTGGGCGTTTGCCTTGCGTGCAGCCGGCCTGGCCGAGCCGGGTTCGATTCCTCCGCCCCTCTAGGAGAGCCCTGCAAGCTACCGAGAGTATCTCGCCGGCACAACAAAGCCTGGCAAGCTCCCCATGAGGTGTTCAATATGCCAAACACAATAACAACAAGTCTCACGACGGAGATGTTACTGGGCCCGCTTGAGCAAATCGATGAACACTGGGAGGACTGTGACTGTGACTGTGAGATACACAGTTACAAAGTTGTTCGTTGTTGGGTTTCAGTCATAGAGTGTTCCAGCACCATCCCATTACCAGTGTACATTTCCCACCTCCAGTGTCCCCAGTTACCCTCCTGCCTCCACTTTTTTACTTTTTTTAACTGAGATTTTTATTGAGATAAGATTTAACGTTTTAACTATCGCAAAGTTCAACTTGATGGGTTTTAATGTGTTCACTAGGTCATATGGACATCCATTACCTAATTCCAGAACACTCTCTGTACTCCAAAAAGAAACATCCCTGGGGGTGCAGGGATGTGGATTGATGGGATCGCACTTACCTTGCATGTGGGAGGCCCTGGGTTTGATCCCTGACACCACCACACGGTCCCCAAGCATCCCTGGAGTGACTCCCCAGCATGAAGCCAAGATACCACTCAGAATAGTCACAAAATAAAAACAGCAGTGACAACAAAAAGTAGCTCTGTACCTCTCAGTGCTTTCCTCTCTCCATCCCTAACAACCACTAATCTATTTTCTGTCTCAGTGATTTGCCTATTCTGGATATTCCATCTAAGTGGAATCATAAAGTATGTGTCTTTTGATGATGTCATTTCTTTTGTTTTTGGTGGGGAGGGGGTGTTGGGTCACACCTGGTGGTGCTCTGAGAACTATACAGAGAAGTATTAATTTTGCCTTGTAATAATAATAATCTTATAATAATAATCATTATAATAATGTATACTAATATACATTATTATATGTAGTATATAATAATGTATAATGATTATACATTGTATAATCATGTATAATGTATAATAATATACATTATTATTGTTGTTTTTTTTTTTCTGAGCCATATCTGGTGGTGCTGAGGGGCTCCTTCTGGCTTGTCCTTGGGGTCCCTCTTGGTGGTGCTGGAGGACCATTTAGTTCTGGAGCTAGAAAGTCGCCTTCCACATGCATACCTTTCCTTATCCTTTGAGACTCTCTCTCTAGCCTGCCAACAATAATTATAGAAATTGGGTCAGTTTCAGATTCTGTATCACCTGTGGCAAAAAAATAATTTTGTTTCTGTTGCTTCTAGGGTTAGGGTTAGGGTTGCTTCTAGGTAAACATGAGTGAAATTGGCTTTGGGGGGGTGGGGGGTCTGCACCCACCAGTGCTCAGGCTTCCTCCTGGCTCTGCACTCAGGGATCGCTCGTAGTGGGGCTTAGGGGGCCATATGGAGTACAGGCGATCCAACCCAGGTTGACCATGCATAAGTCAAGTACCCTACCCTCTGTTGTCTTTGTATGCCCCTGTATGCCTATACTTTAAAAAAGATGTTGTCTTAGTATGCCCCGGTATGCCTGTACTTTAAAGAAGAGCAAGCCTCTATTTTAAATTTTTGTGTCATGTCTTTTTTTTTTTTTAATTTTTATTAGTGAGACACCATGAGGTACAGTTGTAGACTTACAAATTTTTGTGCTTGGGTTTCAGTTATACAATGATCAAATACCCATCCTTCCACCAGTGCCCATTTCCCACCACCACGAATTCCAGTATCCCTCCCACCCCCCATCCCCCCAACCCCCCGAGCCCACCCTGCCTCTGTGGCAGGGCATTCCCTTTTGTTCTCTCTTTCCTGTTGGGTGTTGTGGTTTGCATTGTGGTTCTTGGGGATTGAACCCAGGGCCTCACACATACAAGATGAGCTTTCGATTGCCGAGCCACATTCCCTGGCCCTTACTTTTTTTTTTTAATCTTAAATAATATGCTCAGTCTTGCTAGTATTTCCTCTTAGAAGTTCCTTTAAAGAAACAGAAGCATCATTTACCCTGTGTTTAGAAGACTGACTGTGACCTGGTGATAAGAACACCATCCCTGAAACCAGAATGTCTTCATTTTTAAAACAGGGCCCACCTTAGGGTTATAATTCTGTAACCCTGGGCACTTGTGTTAACATTTCTATAACTCAAATTTTCCTATTGTAAAATAGGTGTGATTAATTTTGTCTTATATTGAGAGTCATATTAAAAAATAAAAAAACAGTGAAATCTGTTTTTTTCTAATCTGAGGCACCATAAGTTACAAAGCTATTAATGACAGTTTCATGCGTGCAGAGTTCCAGCACCCACCCTCCACCTGAGTATCTCCTTCCTTCCATTCTTGTCCCAATGTCTCCCCCAACCCCACCCCTGCTTTTTAATTTTTGTTTTTGACTTACCTTTGGCTGTGCTCAGGGCTTATTCCTGGGTCTGTGCTCAGGAACACTCATGGTGTACTCCAGGGAAACCATATGGGATGTGGGAATCGAACCGAGGTCGGCTGCTTGCAAGACAAGTGCTTTACCCACTGTACTGGCTATTTGACCCCCTCCCCCCTTATTTCTGGTGATTCGTGCCAGGGATCAACCTGGGGGCTTTTTACACGTGAGGCATCAGTTCTGCATTGACGTACATCCCTGGCCCCAGGTGAAATCTTTGTAGTTCATAAAGGTTTTAAAGATTTTGATTATTTGTATCACTTATATGTGGTATTTAGAATAATTGGATGAGGAAATGCAATGATTTAAAGCGGGTGGGGAGTTGTGAGGCCTAGATCACCCTCCGCCCCAGAGTAGAGGGAGGAGAAGGAAAGAAATAGAGTGAAGAGGAAGAGGAAGAGAGATAGATGAAATGCTACGGGTGCAGGGGTCAAGGAGACCCAGGTACATCGGTTGTATAAGGAATGGTAGAGCTGAATATCCAAACCACAGAGGCGACAACACTGAACTCACAGGACCCAAACTTAATAACCAGATTTAAAAGGTGCTTGTTAAGGGCTGGGGTGAGGTGTGAGTTGGTGGGTAGGGGAGGGGAGGGAACCTGGGAACACTGGTGGAGGGAAGTTGGCACTCTTGGAAGGATGAATATTTTGTGACTATATCACAAAATATAACTCTGTGATTCACAGTACTTTAATAAAATACAGTTTTGAATAAAAAAAAAGATTTTGATCATTCGAATGGCAATTTTTTTTCTATTGGGAACTATTATTACAGTTGATTATATTTATATGATTTTTCCCAACCTGAAAGTTTTGGAAAGTTTTTTCTTTAGTATTCGCTTTTGTTTATTTATGAAAAGAAAGCATACTGAAAATAAGGAGTGATCTCTTTATGCTGTTTGTCTTATAAAAATTTAATTTGTTTTTATGTGTTACAGCTAGAAGAATTGAACTCTTCCATGTATCCTTTGTCTAATATTAATGATTTACAAGTTATAATTTCTTTTTCTCCCTTTTTAATTGAGATATCATGATCTACAGAGTTAGAGAGTTTTATGCATCCAACTTTCCAACACCACACCTACCAGCAGAGTGAAATTATAATTTCTTTCTTTTAAAAAAATTTTTTTGGATTTGGATCCCACCTGGCGATGCTCAGCAGTTACTCCTGGCTCTGCCCACAGGAATCTCTCCTGGCAGTACTCAGGGGACCATATGGGATGCCAGGGATTGAACCTGGGTTGACTGTGCAAGACAAATGACCTACCCACTGCACTGTTGTTCTAGCTCCTGAAATTATGATTTCTAATGCATATTCTCAGTAAAGTAAGCAAAGATACATCCTGTTGTTTTCTGGAGAAAACCCTTTGGTTCCAGATGGAATTTTTTAGTTGGTTTTTTTTTTGTTTGTTTCTGATTTGTTTTGTTTCGCTTTGTTTTGTATTTTTAGATTTTTTTAAATTATAAAATGTAGGAGATTTAGAATTAGGCTAATTTTCATAAAAATTATTTTGACTCTTTGAGGTTAAGAAGGCAGTTGGATATGCAGATATACTACACATAAACTAGTACTAGTTGTTATAGGATTCTCTTAAGGGATTCTCGTGTCACATGTAAAATATTCAAGTTTTAGCTTTCAAATTCTTAAGTGATTTTAACATAGTAATAGGAATAATATGAGATATATAACAGTAAGAAATTATCTTGCCTTCCCCCGAGTACCATCATGAGTGATCCCTGAGGCAAAACACTGTCTCCCCCATAAATAAAAAAATTTCTTAAAAGATCCTGCCTAACTTGAGGGGTAAGCCCCATCTTAAAACCAAGTAATGAGATACTAGAAAGAATCTGGGGGTTGGGGGAAATCTACTAATAGGGATTGGAGAACGAGAGCTCACATGGTTAGTGCTCATGCTTTGCATGTAAAAAAAACCTGGATTCAGTCCCCTGGTCACCCTTGAGCACTGCCAGGGGTGACCTTCCAGTCAAACACTGGGAGCAGTCTCTCAACACTGTCAGGTCGGAACAAATCCCCTCTCCCGTCAAAATATTAACTGATCAAATATGTTTTCATAAATAAATTTCACTCCAGCCAATTTCTGCATATGCCTCTACTCTGCTCCTTACCATAATGACTGTTCTTGTGTTTAAGTAATTTTGAACTCTGCTATCCTGAATATAGTCTTGATTCATCCATTATTTCAGGTTTTCAAATTCTCCTATTTGACATGATATCATTTTAAAATGGGCTGGAGCGATAGCACAGCAGGTAGGGCGTTTGCCTTGCACACGGCAGATCCGGGTTCGATTCCTCCGCCCCTCTCAGAGAGCCCAGCAAGCTATCGAGAGTATTCCGCCCGCTCGGTAAAGCCTGGCAAGCTACCCGTGACTTATTTATATGCCAGAAACAGTAACTATAAGTCTCATAATGGAGACATTACTGGTGCCCTCTCAAGCAAATCCATGTACAACGGGAGGACAGTGCTACATCATTTTATTTATTTATTTATTTATTTATTTACATCATTTTAAAATTGTCTCAGCACATCCAGATTTCTATTTTGGGGGATGTCACACCTGGCGATGCTCAGAGGTTACTCCTGGCTCTATGCTCAGGAACCTCTCCTCACAAGTTCAGGGGACCCTAGGGAATGGTTGGGGGTCGAACCTGGGTTGACTGCATGCAAGGCAAATGCCCTACCCACTGCACTGTCTCTCCAGCCCCTCATCCAAGCTTCTTAATAGTATAAAAACAAGAGTAGTAACTGACATCTCAACTCTCTTCACTCCTGAGTGTAATGTCCGGAATTTAAAAAGAGCTTCTCATCAGAGCATGGAAATCTTCTTAACTGATGAACTCAGACAGAAACTCCATTTGGCCGATGCCCAAGACGTTCCGAACACTTCTGCCAGCTGAAATGAAGCGCAGTTGCTTCCTTGGGGTCTGAGGAGAACAGGCGTTCTTTATTTTTCCAGCTGAATCCAGTAGCAGAATCATCCTCCGCAACAAGGAATTAAAATGATTAGTGCCATGATTTGATTTTTTTTTTCCCGTGTTCTGCTGTGAGTCCATTTGACTTGCTTATAGTTCACCATCGCTGGGGACAGGCGCTGCTGAAGGAAATGTGATTCCAGGCTGGCTGCTCTGCTGCTTCTTGTTGCCTTATGGGTTATACTTGAAATGTCTTGTGCTAAATGTTGTGGATAGGGCTGGCGGATTTAGCCTTCCTGGGCTCACCAAACGTGCTCGAGTGTCGTTCCTAAGTTGATGACGCGTGGGCTTCCTGTGGCAGCCTGCCTGCAGTTTACATTAGACAATCAGTACACATGCCGGGGTGTGTGCCAATGGCCAGTGACTACGAAATGAGCTATTAAGTATTTGTGAAATTTGCTATTTTTTAATAAAGTGATTGTTTTCAATTAGTCTCTGTTGCCTGTTTTGAAGAAACGTGTAAGCAGTCTGGGAACATAAGGGTTCAAAGTAAGCACTGTTTATAAGATTTGAGTTATAACACTCGATTGCAAATTTTGGGCTTAGGCGTATTTAAATGTATAATGAAATGATTATGAGCTTTTAAATTAATTAATTTATTTATTTTGCTTTTTTGGGTCACACCTGGCAATGCTCAGGGGTTACTCTTGGCTCTGCACTCTGGAATTACTCCTGGCGGTGCTCAGGGGACCATATGGGATGCTGGGAATCGATCCTGGGTCGGCCGCGTGCAAGGCAAACGCCCTACCCACTGTACTATCGCCCCAGCCCCACGATTATGAGCTTTAACATTAAACTTTGACTTGAATCCCTATTCTTTCACTCTTAGCTCTATTCATTTACTCGTTTTCTCTAGCTTAATGTTTGTTTCAAATAAAAAAAAATGAAGTTAACCACCAATCACAATGGTGGTTATGAAGAAGTAGAAAAATCCATGAAAAATACTCAGCACACATGCTAATATATGTAATGACTAGAAAAAATTAGTTTCATTGCTGCTTTTCAAAGTTTTACTGAAATAATTCATATATCACAAAATTTAATTTTATTATGTACTTTGTAATTTTTTTTAACAGGATCATGTTCTTTACATAAAATCATAATATGCAGGCTTTTATTACTTTTAGCATGTTTGTAGCTGCTTTATCCATATTGTGGCAGTACTTTATTATATTTTAACATTCCATTACGTGTTATTGTATGGATATAACATTTTGTTTGGATTCAGACATTTTTTTTGGAGGGGGAGGGGGCACACCGTGATACTCAGGGATTACTCCTGGCAGGACTTGTAGGGACCTTACAGGGTGCAGGAGATCGACTGCAGGTTGCCGCAAGCAAGGCAAACGCCCTACCCACTGTATTATTGCTCCAGCCAGTGAGAATAACTCTTTTATATAAAGATGCCCACGAGGTGTGGCAGTAGAGCCCTGTGCTCCCCCAACCCTCCCAGTGTCATGCTGAGCGCCAACCGCTGTGGTACCCCTATTCCCCAGTGATGCTGCGTATTCATTGTAGGGCAATACATTATTATTTCCAGACTTAGTACTTCTTTTTTTACAAAATTCAGATCACCTCAACCGTATGGTTTTCTGACCTGCTTTTCATACTGTGAACATCTCTCTCCACAGCCGTATCAACTCGTTTTCATTGGGGAAAGAAAGTAAACAAAGATATTTTGGGGAAAAACAAACTAATTAGGAAAAAAGACGGTTCCCGTCTCGGTGCCTCCTCATCATGCTAAAACTAGCAATAATAAACTATATTATTGTTGACAATAATAAAGTAATAAAATTAAGTATACTTGAGATTTGTAGATTTGAAGATTTTAAAAAAATAATAACGGGAAAAAAAAAACACCTTTTCCTTAGTCTTTTCTGGCTTTGATGTGGACTTCAGGTCCAAGTCGCTTTGCTTCTTGGACTTCCTGCCCTGGATCCCACCCCAGTCTCCACGGGGGATACCCCCAAAGCGGGAACTCCAGCTGGGCGGAGGTGGACGCCAGGGCTGGTGCTCTAGAGCGTGGTCAGCGGCCAGGCCGGACTAGCGTCCGGTCCCAGCGGGTGTCCCAGACCGAGGGGCGGGCCGAGGGTTGCGGGGCGGGGCGGCCGGGGTGCGTCCTCCGGTTTCCATGGAAACGGCGCGCGCCTGCCCCACCCCTTTCCCAGGCTGCAGACTAGCTTTTCGCGCTAGACTAGACGGTGCCGCGTGGGTCCCGGGTTCGCCGCCACCTCGCATAGGTAAAAGCTCCGGGTTTCTGGGCCGCGCCTCTTAGTAGTAGGGGACCCTACGGGCACCGTGTCCTTGTCGCTTTGGTTTCGCGCTGTAGCCTCGCCTGGCCCAAAGTAGCGCTGGGATTCCCCCTCCTTGACCTTGAAGACCCACCTTGACTTTGCAGTTCCGTAGTTGTCCGAAAGATTTCCAAAGGCCACACCCGGCAATGCTCATTGCTTAGTCCTGGCTCAGTGCTTAGGAATCATCCCACGTGTTGCTCCGGAGGATGCTAATATGGTGCTGGGTCCCTACACACACACACACACACACACACACACACACACACACACCCCTTTGGATTTAATATGTGTGCAAGGACCAGGGATTGAACTCTTTTTTTATTTTTTTATTTTTATTTTTTGCTTTTTGGGTCACACTCAGCAATGCACAGGGGTTACTCCTGGCTCTGCACTCAGGAATTACTCCTTGCGGTGCTCAGGGGACCATAAGGGATGCTGGAAATCAAACCCTGGTCGACCGTGGGCACTCTAGCCCCAGGGATTGAACTCTTGACCTTCTAGTCATTCTAATGACTGAGCTACTCCCCTGGACCCCAGAGTGAATTCTTACCCTTCATGACTTCCCTTCTCTTCCATTTTGCTGATGTCATGATGAAAGGATAATTGGTGAGCTCTGCATAGTAATTCAGTTGTGAGCTCCTGTACCATAGAACTCATTTAATGTTATATGGAAATTGCTAATAAAATATCACACTAGTTCATGAATTGTCACAGTTGTGACACAGTTGTCAGATCATAATGCTTGATAATTTGACTCTTCTGAGCTAGGAACTTGATTTTCAGTCTTGAATTTGGAAAATTGGTAGGTGTGAATAGATGTGAACAATGGCTGGCTTGTTAATTCAGCAATTACTTGGCCTTGAGCCGCCTGGGTAACAGAAGTTCAATGATAGGCAGCTCCTATAATGTCACCCAATAATGCCAATTTTCACTTATGCCCGTGAAACCCTCCTCTCCAGCATGGGCTGGGCTTATTTCTAATGTGGGCTTTTTCAAACTTTTTCTGTAAAGGGCTAGAGCGATAGCACAGCAGTAGGGCGTTTGCTTTGCACGCAGCCAAGATGGCCGACTCGAGTTCGATTCCTCCACCCCTCTCAGAGAGCCCGGCAAGCTACCTAGAGTATCTCGCCCGCACGGCAGAGCCTGGCAAGCTACCCGTGACGTACTCGATATGCCAAACACAGTAACAACAAGTCTCACGAAGGAGACTTTACTGGGCCCATTCGAGCAAATCAATGAACAACGAGAGGACCGTGACCGAATTTTTGAACTTATGGGTCATATGTTATCTCTTCCAGTTTCTCAGTTCTGCTGTTGGGTAAATTCCAACCTGAGAGTATGTAAATAAATTTGATTTTTTTTTATTAAGGCAGAGAGAGAGAGAGAAGAAGAAGAAGAGAAGAGAAGAGAGTGAGAGGAGAGAGGAGAAAGAGAGGAGAGGAGAGAGGAGAGAGAAAGGAGAAAGAGAGAGAGGGAGAGAATCTGGATTAAGGCACTTGCCTTATATATACAGCAAACCCTGAGCATTGCCAGATGTGGTCCACACTTCTCCCTCTCCCCCCACCCCCACACACACCCCTTGATTTTACAAAACTGGGTGGCAGACAGACCTGACCTGCTGAGTACATTTGCTGGCTAACCCACCTGACTAAATAAAGGAGCATATCTCACTTCTTTGAGTACATTACACAAAGACTCTGCTCCTATCTTTTCTGCCCACATTTTTTCTCCTGGCCACTTTGAGGGACACTAACTGCCACTTTAGGAACCTAACTCTGGAGACCACCTGGGATGGGAGCCTCTAAACAACAGCCCGCAAAGAACTGAGGCTCTTGTTACAACAGCCTATACGAAATTGAATCTTGCCAACGACCACTTACCTGGTACATGGGGCTTGTAAGCAGACCTTTCCCCAGCACTGCTCTGGGATCACTAGAGCCCTAGCTGACACTGAATGGTGAGGGACAATTAGTCAGAGGACTCAGTTAAACCCTGCTTGGACTCCTGACTCCCCAAAATTGAGACTGTAAATTTGGAGGGGGCTATATTTGAACTACACCTAGAAGTATTGGGGATTGAACTGGAGTTGAATACATGCAAGGCAAGTGCCTTAAGTCCTGTACTATCTTTGTGTAATATTCCATTGTGTAGATGTACCATAGTTTCATTACCCAGTCATCTGTTCTCGGGCACTGAGGTGGTTTCCAGATTCTGGCTATTGTGAATAATGCTGCAGTGAACATAGAAGTGCAGATAGTATTTCTGCTGTGTGTTTTCGAACCCCCAAGGTATATTCCCAGAAGTGATATTGCTGGGTCAAATGGGAGCTCAATTTCTAATTTTTTGAGGAATGTCCATATTGTTTTCCAAAAAAGCTGGACCAGTTGGCTTTCCCACCAGCAATGAATGAGGGTCCTTTTCTCCCTACATCTGCACCAGCACTGGTTGTCAGCTATTAGGAAAAATGAAGTCATGAAATTTGCCTATAACTGGATGGACCTGAAGAGTATCATGCTGAGTGAAATGTGTCAGAAGAGAGACCAGATATAGAATGGCTGCGTTCATTTGTGGGATATAAAAAAATAGTATGAAACTAACATCCAAGACCAGGGAAAATAGGGGCAAGGAGGACTGATCAATGATTGGAAATTCCCACAAGGGTGTGGTAGGTAAACAGTAGTTAAGATAGAGGAGGGTCCATTATGACGTTAGTTGGAAATGGTCACTCTGGACAAGAACTGAGTGTTGAAAGTAGGTAAAGGGATATGCATGATAACCTTTCAGCATCTGTATTATAAACTGTAATGCCTAAAATGAGAGAGAGAGAGAAAGGGAGAGAGAGAAGAGAGAAAGAGAGAGAGGAGAGGTGCCTGTCATATAGGCAGGCTAGGGTGGGTGGGGGTTGAGGTAGTAGTAGGGAAACTGAGGACATTGGTGCTGGAAAATTACACTGTTGGAGAGATGGGTTTTGGAACACTGTATGACTGAAACCCAATAATGAACAGCTTTGTAATACTTCTATTTCATAGTGATTCATAAAAAAGTTTTTTTTAAATAAATAAGTATGGAGAACTATCCTTACCTTATTAAAAAAAAAAAGATCTTGTGCTATTTCTCTGGACCTAAAGTCATGC